AGTGCCGACCTCGTACGAGAGGCCGACCTCGTGATCGTTTAATAAAATCGTGATTATACCGGACCATTCTCCCATTTTTCAATCGTACTTTCGATATTCTTACTTTTTAACCGTTGACCGAAAACGCTCGTCAACACTCACCATTCCTAATATGGAGAGGTCGTACACTCTGAAATATCACCAAATCCATTCAACAAGATTTGGCCGTGCAGCGAAAATTTCAGGACCGTCTTAGCGAGCAAATAGGCGAGCGAGCGGACAATCCTTCCATAAGCAAGATATCCAACTAGTCCAACTATCTATGTAGAGAAAATTTCATAACCGTCCCCAAAAAAATTCTTACGTTAAAGTACAGAATACGATATACAAAAACACCGACCTCACATATATTGGTCGTGCAAAGCCGCACCACGACAATCCTCTTCACCACTACAAAATTACTCATTCAAGAATCTCTTGGTAAGGGTTTTTCTCGCTTTCTTTTTATGAGTGGTAATGGGGTTTTTGACAATCGGTAGCCGAATTTATACAAGGTGCTTTTGAGGAAACTTTCTGCATATTTATTAAATCAATTCTTTTATGTGCATTAACCGACACCCACAACCTTGTGCAAATCGATATTCTTGCTTTGCTTTGTTATCCAATAAGCTCTACCATCCAATTCAGAATTAGTGGGGATATGTTTGCCAATGTATGTGATGGACTATGTTGTGTGATTGGTACTGAATGCGTTTTTTCTGCATTCAGCTCTCTTCATGTTTAAACGGGTTGGTTAATTTCAATTCTTGAAAACACGTAAGGAGTGCGTTGGGCAAACTGAAACTCTCTGAGCGCACTTGCATGTGTTTGTTTCTAGTGATTTTCATAAAATGTGGATTATATTGTACTTAGTTTTTATGCAAAGATTTGACCTTTTTCTTTCTCCTAATAAACACACTTCTTCTAATCTCCGAAAACACTACATATCAAGAATTGCAAAATGATTCCCCTCTTCTTAAATGTAGCTAGTAATACCGAAATCAATAACCAAAATGGAGTAGTTGTGATTTTAAAGATTATATGTTTAGGCTAATAACT